TTATTTCTTGACATATAATAATTGCGCTACTACTACAGAGAAACATGATGATATTACATTACGGGCAGTAACAACAAAGCGTAGCCTAATCAGAATAAGCATAGAGATCAGAATTCCTTACGACTTGCGCACTCTCTTATTGTTGGGTCCCTAATACACAAAGATAAGTAGCTCCATCTATGATATCAATGCCTTACGATTACCTTTATGTTTCTACAATTTAAGAGATAGAGAGAATATCAGCATAAAATGGCTAACTCCAGGTGATGATGAGAAACTTACTGTCTTTGCAAATCTTGCGTTTCTGGTGATGAATATCTTCTGTGCTTTTCATATTCCTTTGCCTTTGATTTGTTTGATGCAGATACATTTTTTGATACTGGAGATGGCTGCATTGGCTATAGTGATAGTGCACATTATAAAATGGAAAAGAAATGTGAGTTACTGCGCTATATCTATGAAAACTTAATTACTTGTTCTACTAGAGGCATATGTTGCGTGCTGATTCTTCTATAATATTACGATTAGTATCAAAGAGTACTTTTCTCTATGCAGCATTTACTTTTGTGATCCAGTATTTCGAGAAACATGAAAATTGATCTTGTCTACAATCGAATTTTCGTCATCGTCGACAGAATCTTCTTCGGATTGCGCTTGGGATCCCTCAGAAAATACCAGATCATCTTCATCGAATTGGGTTTGGTAAGTTGCGGTGTCATTGCTTGGCCTGGCATTGTATTTGTAATCGATTATGCCAGACAATGATTTGGAGACAGCAAACTGCGGCAACCAATCTTTGAAGAACCCAGAGATGTCAACGCCCTTTTTGGCTACATCGTCTATGACGGTCTTGATTAACAAGGCTTGAAATCTGTTGTCCAGCTTGCTAAAAGTGATATTTGGGAACTGTCTATCAGCTTTCTTTGCCTGGTTGTATGCTGCATCTTTGACAAGCTCCCAGACCTTCTTGCCATCAAGGTTTTCCCCACCTAATCGATGCTCTTCAAGGACGTTGATGCATAGCTCAACAGAAAGCTCCTCCAGATGTTTGCTATCTGCTTTGCTTGGACGGCATATCACTCCATCTAGTCTCGCAACATTGGCCGTGCTCGAAGAGGTAGATTGTTGAACAATATGCTGCAGCATAGCTTTTACTTCGGTCTGGTTGTCATTACATTCCTTGACCTGTTTGCTAAGATTGGACAACTCCTGTTCAATGTTCTCCAATCTTTGTAAGAATAGTTGTTGTGCTTGATCCATTTTTGAATAAGTGATTAGTGTAAAGTGTAAAATAGAGCAGTGCTTTGAGATGGTTGTATCAATTGCGATAAATGCGTAACAATCTATGAAAGACAGAGAAAAACTGGTCTAGTAATGTTTCCAATAATTAATAGCACCCGCTATCACAGACATTGATGTTTCAATCATGCAGATTGAAACGCATGCAATGTGAACTATTAGATTTCACTATAGATATTCACATGGCTATTCAATACCAATCAAAGTGTATTCTATGTTCAATATTGCATGCGTTTCAATCTGTATGATTGAAACGCATGCAATATAAGGAGCATAAAAGACAATCCAGACAGATTTGTGTTTAACCTTTATTTCTAATATTATTTACGATGCCATTTTTTTGTGCCCAGTGTTGCCGAAGAATTCGCAATAGACATGAAAAACAGCATAAACTTTGGCACTCTTCAAATGACACAACAACTGTAGACTTGCACAACCTGGAGACTAATCAGTATCAAAGAAAGAAAGCAAGAACTGAACATGATACTCAGGCTGGACCTTACACTGAAAGAAATAGTCAGCAAGAAAACAGCGATGGTGAACCTGGTAGCGATGGTGAACCTGGTAGCGATGGCGGATATGACTTTGGAGACTCTGATGGACTCGGCGCTAACTATAGTGACAATCAGATGTCTGACAGTTGCGAGGCATTACCACCACTGGATGCTAAAAATACTGAGATCCACAAGATCTTCAGGGAAGAAAACTTGACAAACTCAAGCATCCGAAGACTTGTTCAATGGCACAACCAAACGTATCCTTGTAAGTAACCATAACAAAGTTGGTTGTTTCAAAGCGCTAACATCTACTATGATAAGTTGCAACGCCTATAGTCTCAACATTCAAGGCCAGCTCTGCTAGGAAAAGGGCAACTTCTTTTGCACCTTATACAGTCGATGTGTGCATCAGGTATTGCTATGCCTTTCAACCAGAGGATGGGGACGAATGTCCAGTGTGCTTTGAAAAGAGATTCGATATTGATGGTAGCCCCAGAAGAACCATCAAGATGCTGCCAATCGGTCCACAACTTGCCACGTTGTTCGAAAATCCAAACTTTATCAGAGTGCTTGATGACGAGAATTCATCCATCAGAGCAAGGTTCAAGGGCGATATAATGCAAAATTTAGTGAACAACAAGCATCTATTCAACAATAGATACGACATTGGCCTGTCCCTGTACGTAGATGGATTCCAATCACACAAAAAAGGCGGTGCAAAGTTGAACTTGGTCATGCTACAAATCTTGAACCTTCCTTCTGCCTATAGATACAAAATGGAGTTCCTGATTGATTTCGCCATTATCCCAAACACCAAGAGATTAGACAGTTACCTTCAATACCTTGTCAGCGAATTGGAAAAATTGGCTCGTGATGGACTACAAGTGCAGAGAAACAACTCAACAAATATCTCGCTCAAAGTCCACCTCATGGGATCCTTTGGTGATATCCCCAGCGTCAGCGAACTCAATTTCCTCGCATCCCATACGTCGCTTCAAGGCTGCCGTTTTTGTACGATCATTGGCATCAGCAAAAATGGTGTTATTTCTTTTCAACTAGCAGCTAATGATGAAGATCGACCACTACGATTGCTAACAATTGAAGAATACAAATCCAGTGCACCAGAACTTGGTATCGAGAGGCCTTCTTTGTTTCGAAACCTGCCATCATTCATTGATCCAACGTTTGTGGGCTTGGATGAATTTCATTTGTTTGGACAAAACATGGGACCAAGAATCAAGAAAATGTTTACGGACAAGGAATCGATTCTTCGCTTGAAGCCGCGACAAATAGAGAAGATTAGCATTTGCTTGAACCAACTTGCAAGCACATCACCTTTGATCTTCGAAGGCAATTTCATGGATGTCTTCAGCAAGGGAGGGACAGCTCGAGGAGTAGATTGGTTGGTGTTCCTGAAGTACTTTGTGCCCACAGTTCTTATCGACCACGTTGATTTATGCCATTTGGATCCTACTGTCTCTGAAGCTGCCAAGGAAGCCCTACGTACAATATCTCTGATTTGCTCAGTATGCTTGCAGCAGGATATATCTGAGAGCGAGATACAAAAGTTGGAGGAACTAATAACCAAGTGGCACCAATTTCTTCGTCTTCACATCTCAGCAAAATTCTTTCCAATCAGTGAACATTATTTGGAGCATATCACGATGGTGATTCGAAAGATAGGCCCCATGCCTCAGTACAGTTGCCGTGTTTTGGAGAGAAGGATCCAAATGATCAAGAAGAGGATCCATGGCTGTAGTCAAGTTGCAAAACAAGCGGAAAATATCATGCTGGATATTGCATGTAACAGCTATGAAAAAAGAAGGACAATTGCATTTGACAATTCGACGGATACTGCCATCACCTTCTCGAAATCATTGAATATGGGCGACATCAAGCTGTCACCGTCTATTGCTTCTATGTTGTGCAAACATTACAACACTGCTCGTGTCAATCCGCAGATCAAGTGCGCTACCTCACTACGACTTGGCAACAACATCACGATCGACTCTACTTTCGATCCACCAAGTAGAAAGAAGAAGCTGTCAGACCATGCCCTGGTCAATTGTGCTCGCCGCAGTTCGCTACCATTGCTGGTAAAGGTGTTGCTCATCTTTGAGCACAACTTCTCTGGTGCAACACATGCTCTAGCCGTTTGCCAAGTCTATCAGAACGTAACGGTATCAACGTCCGGCATCCCTGAATGTTTCCTTGACAATGCCAACTCGGATACTTCCAATGGTGCATGGGATCTGGATATAATAGCTGTCGATGATATTTTGTCTTCAGTTGCAATTCTGAAGTCTGCCATATCTGGGAAGCTCTTCTTTGTTTGGCCTGATATGAAAAGAATTGGTTTGAAAGTATACAATGATGATTCTATATTTGACTTTGCATAAAATAAATATACGCCAACATCATGGTCACCTTTCTCTCAAACTGATGTTTGTACATCCTTCCAAATTACTAGCCATCCCACTGTTCTATATCTTAATGCTCATTCTTTTGCCCGGTCGCATGCAAAGCTGAAAATTCATTCCTAATAATAATAACTAGTTAATATTGTTTCCTTTCTATTGTTGCTCTGTAATAATATATCTTCTTTCTTTCTTCTTCCTATCCTATTATGACATTCAGAGACCTCTAAATAAAAAATGGAGCACGACTCCCTTACAAGAAAGAATCTGAAGCAGTTGACAAATAAGAAATAAAAATGGCGTAGCGATGACTACTCGCTTTTCTGATGAAGATCGTTTCGTGGTAAAAAAAATCGCTGAATAATATCTAAATTTTTCTAAATTTCTCCAAATTTCTCTAAGCTTAATTTATTAATTTTCATCTGCATGAATTTATCTGAATATTTCCAAAGGGATTTGGACAAATTCAGAGTGATTAAGACATTTTTAGGATATTTCAGAAAAAATTGGTCAAATTCTAATATATTCAGATAAATTTGAATCTTTTTTAGTCACAGTGATATATATATATGCATTCTTGTTGAGATCGGTGGCTCCAAATCATTGTTACAATTGATAGCCAAGCGTGATCGAGTACCACAAGACATCTTGTCTCTCTTGTCTATGCATTCAAGGCGAGATCATGATTGAAGCATGAATTAACTTTTATTTATGACAAACAAAACGTTTTCTTTTTTCTTTTGAACAAAAATACTACTATTTTTTTTTCTACAAACGCTGTTACCAATTACTTAAGTTTTTTGCTTGGTTTATAACCATCATCATCCCACTTGTGCTTTCGCTTCTTGCCAGATGATGACGAAGAGCTTGCGGATGAAGGAGACGATACTGGGTGGTGGTACTGGTCAGTGGTGATGGGCTTGGGAGGTTTCAAGGTCAACTTGATTGCTTTGGCAGGTCTCTCAGGTATTGGCGAGGAACCTACGGTTGTAATCAGTTTCCGCTTTAATGATGGCTTTTCAGGTTGAGCGTGATCCATCGGTGATGATGCACTTGACGAGCCACTAGGTGTAGGCGATGAGGCGATTGCTTTGTTGTGATATGCACTTGAAGCGTGGTTCACGGCAGAGGACACCTTTGGAGGGCTGATGTTGCTGCTTGAGGTAGGTGATGATGGGGTGGATTTCGCAATAGGCTCAACGGCAGGTGCAAGGACTTTTATCTTGGCACGCAAAAAGTCAGTTTCATCTGGCAAAAGGACTTCGAGTCCCATCAATGTTCGCAAATAAAACTTGATTCTTTTCACATCTGTATGATCCAGTTGCTCCTTTGAACGGCAGAATGCTTGTACACGGCTTTGATAGTCCAACATGATGTTGTAAATATCGGTGATGGCTTCATAATCTTTGGGACGGAAGCTCAGTTGGCCTGCTGCTGCGACCAGATCCGCAATTTCTTTCAATGTAGGCTGCTTGGACTGATGAGCTATCTTTTGCAATGCATCTGGTGTTGGGTGGCAGGCTGGGCAGTGATAGGCAGTGAGAGAGCGAGCAATGTTGCGAGCGACTCTTAAGCAAGGGACGTGATACCATTCATGACAGATTTCGCAAGCAATCATGTGGCCATTTTCTTTGCTTCTGCATATACAGTAGATTTTCGGCGTATCCTCCTCGCTGGTCGTGATGCGTTGGACGTTGGTGAGAATCTCCTTCAATACGACTTCTAATCCTTTTTGTCTTCCATTCATCAATGTCGATCGAAGCTTCTCGTTCCAGGCGCTGTTGCGGGCCAACTCTGCTGTCAATCGTGTTGCCAAGTCGGATGTGTAGCACAGCTCTCGCGTTGCCGTGGTCAATCTTTGAGCCTCCGAGACAGAGGGACGCTCAGCAATGCTGGCGTTAGTACATTGTGTGTTGAGCATTGTGTCTAAATCGCCGAGTGTGATCTTGGATCTTGTTATGCTGTTTCGTAATCGATTGAAAAGTTGAGGATCCAAATCGACGCTTATATCAGGATTCTCTGCGTTGTATCCAATGTGAAATATACCTTGTTCGTCGCTGGGGTCGATCTTTTCTCTTCCCTTGATGATATTCTCTACATGCTGTACTGCTTGTCTAGCGTGCCTGTCCTTGTCCACCAAGTGCTTGAACAAAGCGTCAGATTCGACTGTCAGACCCATTTCCTCGCCATCCTTGATCAGCCTTTTATAATTTTTTGCAGCAAAAGGAGCCGCATAAAGTTTTCGTAAAGCTTGCTCCCACACGCTGTATTCCATGAATTTCTTGAGCTTTCGAAATTGAGCAGAGTCAGATCGGAAGCGCACGCCTCGGTCCAGTATGCTCTTTTGACGATCAATGTCATTTGAAGCGAATAATTCGTCGGTAATCTGATCATCTACGTCTTTGAGCTTTGCTGCATAAGATTCTACATTGGGCAGAAGAGCAAGGTTGAAGCCGATCTCCTGTGCTCTTTCCATCAAATCCTGACATCGTTCGTATCGTGTTTCTGTCTGTTTTGCATTGTCCGGTCGTGATCCAAGTAAGCGTTCGGCATCTGCGATCCATCGATCCAGCACGTTTATAAACTCTTTTAGATTGTCAATGGGTTCTTGCGGTACGTTGCTGTTGTGTGCGTCTCGAATGAATTCTCTGAGTTTCTTCATGTTCAGGCCGGTTCTGGAGTTCAATACAGTGTCCAGCTTCTCGATCCAAAGATCAGGTGTAGGGCCAATGTGTGTAACACGCAGAACCAGTTCTTCTAGTTGGCTGTCGGTGAATTGTAAATGCATCACTTTGCTGTTGATATCACAGGTACACAGCTATTGAAATGACAGGTCAGATCACACAATGCAGTATGCAGGATGTGTGCATCAACTTACCTCAGCGACGTGCTCCAGACAGGCTATCTTGTGCGTACAATCACAGCCAATGTAGGATAGATAGCTGTAGCAATTACAGAACACGCACTGTAATTCTTCGCGGATATCAGCTTCGGGAACGACTCTTTCCTCCAACTTTCTGGCTCTGACATGCTGTCTTTCTTCCATCTCTCTGCTCTGCATTTCAAGAAGCCCACGCTTCAGCCAGTCGATATTCTCCATTGAATTCAGGTTTCGTGCAGCTGTCACCAGCAAATTGTCGTGTGAGAAGCAAGGCTGTCGTCTGTAGTTTTTGTAGCTCTTGGCACACTCCAAGCCATAGTCAACCCATTCACTAGGAGCGAAATTAACTGCTTCACAGAAATTAAACTAAAACTATGCGTTAGTTTTCTGTGTGTGCTTTAAGCAGTTGAATCTCATACTTACACCATGATTGAATCCAGAATGGTAGGCCTTGGGATAGGTAATTACAAATTGGCCAGGACGCTGATCAACAGCATATACATTCACATTCTCCTTCTTTAAGCGTTCAGGACTAAGCATTGTCACCAGTTGGAATAATAAATCAGGTTGTTGTTCAAACAGTTCAGGAACAGCCTTTCGCATGGCATCTTCGAATTTTGCTGTATCAGATCCTGGGACACCATACCATGTTTTCGTTTCACCCCAATGCATGTAGTTGATAGAGTAGGTGTAGTGGTCTTCATTGTGCCAGCAGAACGCAGAGAAGCACATGCCAACGTATAACCAAGGCACCATCATGCCACTGATGTCGGACTTGATGTATGTAAATAAAGACTGAGGCACCACAGGTATCACATTCAAGTTCCATGGGTCAAGCGCGCTCTTTGATAGATGATCAGCTGTAGCAAAGCCGCTGTAGAAAAAGACAGTGCAGTTAGTTTTGCATTGTCATAAATTGAAATGGCCTTTTCAACCTACCTTCCATGTTGTGTACTATGTAAATCAGCACCATATTCAACTTGACAGGTTTCATAAGGGTTGTTCACTAGTCTCCAGAACTCGCTTTCGCACTCCTCTTCTGTGACAGTGCTGCTACCCTTTGGATGCGTCTTCTTGAACCAGTTTGTCTTGAAATTATCGCACACTGTATGAAAGTCGTTGAGGCTGTATTCGTTGCCATCCTCAAAGCCATAGTCTTTTCCTACAGCGGTCAAGCACTGGAAGCAGAACCAATCCGTCTTTGGCACAGAGGGGAGAGGAGGGTTTAAGCAGTAGGTATGGAAACCACGGTTGCAACCATCGCATAGAAGCAAGCTATCTTCATTTCCATTTTTGTGGCAAATCTCGCAATTGTCATTTTCAGTAGAGTCAGTGGGAGAGGAAGAAGAGCCATTGTCTAAGTACAATAAAGTGAAATAAGTACAAAGGGAATCGATATAATAAACAATGAAATAGCATTTACCTTCTTTGAGTGTAAATTGATCAATATCGTTCTTGTGCTTGCCATACCAAATTTCATAGGGTAAAACAACTTTTTGGTAAGCAGTTTTAAGTGCATTTGACATGGATGTACATTGCTTGCGAGCATAGCCTAGCTCTCTACCAATTTCTGCCCATTTCTTGAGCCTTGTCACTTCTTGAACCCCACCACGGGCGGCCACCTCGTTTTTCAATTTGTAGAGATCGATGGGTCTTTTATCAAGCTGTGGAAGTTTGGTTATGGATTTGCCAGTTAATTTGTGATATTTCTTGATTTGCTCCAAGTAGTTGACGTTAGTACGGGTCTCTCCCTCCATGCTGTTCAATTTCTGGATGCGAGTCTTGAAGCGAAACGACTAGAGAGACATTTACAAAAAAATTTCAATTATTCAAGCATGCTGCAAAAAAATGAGCACAAACCTCCGTCTTTAAACTGAAATCAGGATTGTAATCCTTTGGAGGAACAATCTTTATAATGCCATACTTTTCTCCTTCAGGGCTTATCTTTTCAATGTAGCGTAGAGGATCTCTGAATTCGTCCTGTGTTGGGTAAAATGTAGGTGCTTCTTCAATACCAAATAAACGATTGGATTTGCGACTTGCAGAGGCGGCAAGCTCTTGAGATTTGGTTTTTACGGTTGACAAGTCAAATGGTGCTGCTGCCTTGCTCCTGTATGCTGTTTTGGCTGTGCTTTTCGTTGTTCTACGCATGGCTGACGATGGTTATATGTGTGTATGTTTTGTGTATTTTTCAATTAGGTAATTATACGCTGAAAAATGCAACAATATGATGTGGGATGTTGAAATTTTAATGAGAGAAGAAAAGAGAGAAAGGGAAAAATTGCAAGGCAACCAGAATTTATTTTTTCCATTGCCTTGGTGTGTGCGTATGTCAGAATAATTTTAGCTGTTGAATCCAATCAGATTCTTAAACACCATGGTCAATACAGGCGAACAGCCAACTTCGCCTTTCCATTGCATCAAGCTGTCTGCTCTGGTGGGTCCTTTGGTAACAATACCAATGGGCTTGTGCAATTGGTGTGCCAGACGCAACAGGCGATACGAGGAGTAAGTCGCAAGCGACGAACCAATTACTAGCACCGCTGAGCTATCACGAATAAATTTCTCGGCTTGATCTGTCACTTGAGGCTTGATGTTCTCTCCAAAGAAGACGACTTTGGGCTTCATTTTCTGACTGCCACAGTGCAAGCAAGGTGGAATATCAAACTCATCGTAAGAAGCGCCTTTTGGGAGCTCGACATCACCGTCAGGATTGATTTTACCCTTGCCAATCATGGCTTTCCAGCTAGGATTTCTGGCGTGGATTCTATGTTGGTACAAGTTTCTATCGGCGGACGTGTCTCCACAATCCATGCATTCTACTTTGTACAATGTGCCGTGTAGCTCGAGTAAATGTCGATCAGGCGTGCCTGCTTTAGTATGCAAATTATCGACATTTTGCGTAATGATGTTTTGTATATAGCCATGATCCACCAATTTCTTGAGTATGTCATGTGTTGGATTAGGAAGCGATTCTGACATTTTGGGCCAGCCTAGATAGCTACGAGACCAGTATCTTTGACGGTAGTTGTGAGAAGCAGCAAGTTCGTGGTATAGAATGGGTCGATGGTTGGGATTACGAACATAGCTAATTAAAATATGTGAGTTTGTTTCTGTCAAGAATTGATCTCCAAGATAAATTCGTCTTACGTTCCCTATCAAAAAAAAAAAAAAAAAAAAAAAAAAAAAAAAAAACGGCAGAGAATGTGTCAACATGGGATCATTTGTTGATGTGTGGTTGTGTATGCCCTGTCCATACCTGGTCACCTCGATAGTCTGGTATGCCCGAATCAGTAGAGACACCTTTGATGGAAATATCAATATTTAGAATGGATGGTCATGATTTACCAGAGCATGAAAGGCCTGCCTACCTGCACCCGTGACAATCAATAAGCTGCCTTTATGCTGTTGAAACATGTCTGTCACCATGGCGACAACTTGATCAACATCAAACGAAGATGAAGTGGCTGGCAACGTTGTCTTTAATTCTGGGATTTTTATAGTAGCATTCCAAACTTTGTTGGAAATGTATCTCAAACCCAAAGATGGAGAAACCATGATGGATTAATCAGAGAGAGCAAAACTCTTAAAATTGCTGCAACATTTAGTGGAGATGATATTAAGGTGTGTGAAGAGCTAGAATGAACTGGCGCTTCTTGCCTGCCAACGCATCACAGTGTGCTCGTTTGGACGTCATTGATACCAGATGGAATATATTAGATTGAACACCAGCGAGACATTTTTTTCAAGTGAAAAATCCCTCCTACCTTTCTACTTGGTCTCACCCACTCTACCTATTCTTTGACCTTTTTCCTTTCATTTGAATATTATTGCATCTTTAAGAAAAAAAAAAAAAAAAGACAGGTATGTAGTCATCTGCTTGAGGCATGCGAGGACAGAGGTGGCTCATGACATTTAGTTTGAGAAAGTACCGCTTTCCTCATTTATAGATTACATATATTTAGACGTAAAGAAAAACCGAGTTGGGTGCAAGAGATACATAAAAGGTAAATACATGCAGATGTTCAATGTGTTTGCCATAGTAACATGCTATTTGATAGTTTTGATAGAATAAACACACACACACACGCACAACATGTCGCAACAACAACAACAACAACAACAACAAAAGGTAAGCGATTGATCTTGATGGAGCTGTATTGTTCGGCTTGTTAATCTGGTTCACCATATAGAACAGCAGCAAACCGAGAGTAAGCCTTATCAGCATGTAGCAGTAAATGTATCTCTCTAACAAACGTCCAATTGTAGACTGAGGATGACAGCAACTATATTGGCGTCCCCATCATCAACAGCCCAAATCCCGATAATGCGTGGAAAGCCGTTGGTAGTCCTTCTAGAAGAGGCAGCACAACAACGCTCTTTTCCGATATCAACAAAAAGTCGAGTCCTAACGAATCTCCTGTGAATGACCATGTTGATATTATTAGAAGATCCTCCATTGTGTCTGAAGGTAACGCTGCTAACAACAACTGGGGTTCGTTTGGTGGTTTCCAGTGGGAAGGTCCATCTATTTTTGATGAGGATGGCAAACCCATCACAGTGCCTCCTACGCAACCTGCTCCCGACGATGCTCAAGCAGCGTTCAACACAAACTATGACATTCTCTCGGTCCCCATGTTACCTGGTGTTTCACTTGAACCTATATACCGCCAACAACGTAGCCTTTCATTCTCCATGGGACAGGACCCCACATTTTTCGGCTATGATGATTATGATGAACATCCTGTGCCACAGCAACAACAGCAAAGTCAATATCAATCTGCATTCAAATCAAGCTTAGCTCCTATGGAGGAAGAAGAAGACGCCTACTACGATGAGTTTGACCATATTCGATCGAGATCCAAGTCTTCAGGGGCTGCTTTTGGTTTGCTATCTCAGAATCAGCATTCACGTTTAATGAACAATGGCCATATCAGACGAGGTTCTGAACAGCAGGATGATTTGTTGATAAATCAACGTAGGCGCTCATCCTCGCGATTCTTCAACACAAACGACTCAGCAACAGCACCACACATGTCGATGGGAGACAAGGAAAGATTGGATATATTGCAACGTCGTCTATCTCAGCAGCAAGAGTACTCGTTTCCTGATAACCTCATGAGACGCCAGTCATTGACCTTGAACTCGCATCCACCTAGCAACATTCAGCAATTAGCAGATCAGCTGGAGAATACACATTTGAGAACAGATTTGCCAAATTTGAGTGCCTTCCAGCCACCTCCTCAAAACCAGCAACCCCAATACAGATCTGATCTCTATGCTCAACATTTGCAACAACAGCCATTGTTCAATAATGGCCCTCTTCCCTATCATCCATCGGCTGTTACTGCCCAGCAACAATCACAACAGCAATCTCATCATCCATCACAACAACAACAGCAACACCAATATCAGCAACAGCAACGACAACCACAGAATCAGCACCAACAGCAGCAAGCAGCTGATGACTATTTTGACACGGATCCTCGAGGATTTCAAGACCTTGGGAAGGGCATTCCTATTCATCGCTTGGATCCCAATGTGCCACTGTACATGGTAGAATTCAAGGGCGGTAGAACTGATTTCTTTTATGTCATTGATTCCAACCAATTCCATCCTCAATTGGGAGACCTTGTCATTGTGGAAGCTGATCGTGGTAAAGATCTCGGTAAGGTTGCTTGCAACACGTTGACCATTGATCAAGTTACTGTTTTGGAACAAAAGAAGCAAGCTCAATTACAGCAATTGGAAAGCAACGACAAGGAGAAGGAAAAGGAGAAGGAAGCCAAGGAAGAAGAGACGCCTACCAAAGCGCAACGAGAGCTTCACATCAAAAGAATATTCAGATTAGCTGCACCTGATGAAGTCAACCTGTTGTTGGTCAAAGGTCAAGATGAACACAAAGCTCTGGTGGTATGCCAGCAAAAGACCAAACAACGCAAGCTACCCATGGAGGTGGTGGATGCTGAATATCAGTGGGATCGTCGCAAGTTGACCTTTTATTTCGAAGCTGAAAATCGTATCGATTTCAGAGAGCTTGTGCGTGAATTGTTCAAAATTTACAAGACTCGTATTTGGATGTAAGTTGGCTTGATTAGAATTGTCCCTATACGCCTTGCTAATGGAACTTTTGTTGGTTGTAATAGGTGCGTTGTCACTGCTCCCATCACGATAGATGATATCAACAAAACTGCAACATCAACTACCACATTCACAAATGAAATGTAGTTTGACTATATATATATATAACGATGCGGTTATTGATTCTATACGAACAATGACTTGAATTTTGCTAATAAATTTGACGAATTTTTTTCCCTTTTTATCAATGCATCTGTAGTATGATGAGAAGCTACTGGCTTGGCTGTCGTGGCCTTGTGTGAATGTTATCATATAGAGCCAAAGACCGCGATCCTTATAGCATGATATATGCAATTTTCAGCTGCTTTCGTTATTAGTCTTTTTTTTTAAGATTGAAGCCAAGCACCAAATTTTTGCGGTATGATGTATGATGATCATTCACCTCCATTCATTTATACTGTATATTTGGACAAGCAAATGTATGAAACACAACCAAAATTGACAACTTTCAAGTCTTCATATCTTAATATGTAGGCCTTTCTGAGCCACCGGAATGACGCCAAACAATTGCACTTGAGTAATAGTAACTTCCTGACACCTTTGCTCAACTTTTTGGGTCAAAAAAAAAACATGGCCAAAAATCGACCAAAAAGCATGAGGGGGTATCTCATGGTTTTCATCGAAAATCAAACGATCGCATTTTTCACCTTGAAAATGAAGGCTTTTACTACGATGTGTATTAAATCAAAATGTTTCGCTCGATCCAAAGCAACCTCTGAAACCACATTTATGAGGTCTTCATATGTAAAATTTCAACATTTTGGCCAAAAACCTCATTACATATTTTCTAAAATTGCTCAATGAATTTCAGTCAAAACATATACTTGGCTTGGCATCATTGGAAGAGCTTTGAAAAGCTCTTCAAGAATATAGTAGAAAGTACAGGTTGATCATTACAGCTTATATAGTCGAATCTAGCAAAACAGATTAAAGAATTCGAAAAGCTACAAACTTTGACCAATCTTGAGCAATGAAGTAGTTCTGAGTTTGAATCAGTTTTTGCCCTCTTGGCTGATTCAAATACCTTTCTGATGATGGTAACAATGATAATTGGGATACTGATTCAATGGGGATCATGAATTCAAAGAAACCGTCGCCCAGTTTGAATCCCTCCGCATGCTTTTGTTGGGTACTTTTATATCTGACAACGCCAGTCAGCTTGGCTCATCACCAAAATATATATAACCACAACTTCCTAATCATGATTAGCACCATTCCAGCATGGCGTGTAGGCAGTATAGGCTTCATTGATTCATTTAAAAGAAACTCTTGCCTCTTGCTGAAAAGCTACTTCGGTACTTTAAGAGGATGTCTTTAAAACTTGTATCAGAACATTCACTGGGAACGATGGCTGCAATCTGGTTGAAAGTTGGCAGATTCTGAGTGGCCTGTCTTCAACAGCAATTAGCTCTAATCTCATTTGAGGGTTGAGTCGAATGCGAGCACCCTCGTTGATATGATTTCAGGCTTGCCGTTCTTCTTACTCAGGACCTCATAGGCATACTTGTAGATGAGTTTTATATGCTTCCGGTTGGCCGCAACGGCACTTTTTTCATAGAGTATATTGTATGATATACGATTGTGCCTTGTGAAACTGATTGATAATCCGACGGGAATTCCATTTCATAGCATTCAGCCAACTTTACAAATGCCTTCTTTTTCTTTTCTAGCTTATTTATATAGAAAGAACATTATTCAAACGCATTTTGCCGTTTAATACTATTATCTACTTTTTTACAACCATCTGTAATCTACATGAAGTATGCCCAATAATACAGCGCCAACAAGGGCATCCATAGATAATACTCGTATGACTCGTACAGCCTCAGGTGTGAAACTCGCCTACTTGGCATCCTCACAACAAGGCAATTCAACAAGCACGCCTGCTCTTTCATCTCTAAACAGTAACGAATCTGCCAATCATACAGGCACTATACCACCCTCCCCTTCCATCAATACCGTGAACAACACTGCACATAAACCACTCGCTCGTGAAAGGCCGTTTGCTCGTGAAGATTACAATAGCAACGTCAATCCTAATAGCAGGCCACCTTCCATTCGATCTGCTACCTCATTCGGAAGACCATTGAGCAGATTCATGCCCGGTCATCATGCCCGCCATCATTCGAATTACTCAAATTTCAGTACCATGAGCGAAACTGCGTTACCTTGGACAACCCGAGATATTGGATTTAATGCCATCTCTGGTAATCTATATTACACCCAACATTTGCGCAAAGAACGCTCAAGCTGACATGAAAAAACTAACTTGATAGGTGTATTGAATGATCCTGCCAAATCCAAGGATCTAAGCAAGCCCAACAAAGCTGATATTCCACCGGTCTCTCATGCCGCTATTCCCAAAATTAAAACGAGCGATTTTGAATCTTATTTGAATCATATTGGTCCAGCATTTGAAAGATATCAGCAATACAAGCTCGCCAACAAGGAAACTGAGGATGCTAGTTCGTATCCGCCTACACCCAACACAGCATCTGGAGTCCCAGGTGAGGATGAAGAGGCCTTTTCGCCATTTGGTAGACATCCAGCAAAACGAACAGGACGCAATCCATACAGCTTACCACAGCATGTATTATCCAGCGAGAGTTTGTTAGACGACGATGCAAAGACACCACCTCGAGAGCTACCTATGATTGAAAATGTGCCACCCATCTTTTTTGAGCCTGACTTTCTGCTAGAGAATCCACATGTGTTTGATACAGTATGTGAAGGAGCAGACATCATTGGCAACAGCGGACCGAATTCATCGATTTCCACCAACTCGATTTTGCAAGAGAAGCTGTCATATTACCTGGATACGGTTGAGGTGCATTTGCTGGGAGAAATCGAGAATAGATCATCCTCCTTCTTTGAGGCACTCAGCAATCTACAAGCGCTGCACCAACAGACCTTAGACTGTGTTTCACAGATCCACACCATACGTCAAAAGATGAAGCAGATTCAAGACACAGAATGCAAGGATGGATTGGAGATTATTCGGCTTCAAGTGAGAAAACGAAACCTAGAGAAACTCCATCGAGTCACCACGCTGGTCAAGAACATTCGATCCGCTCAACCGATGATACAAATTTTGCTTGGACAGGGCGATTATTTTGCTGCGTTGGATTTGATTGACGAGACGAGGGATGTGTTGAGCGGCAAAAACAGCAGTAGCGGCGATGACCGAGAGCCTGTGGACTTGACATCGGTAAAAGCGCTGTCAAATTTCTCCAGTCAGTTGGATGAAATGGAAAAGGCAGTTGGTGTCATGATGCAGCATGATTTCCTAAGCATACTGTTATCTGATCTGTCGTATAAAATTGAGAGTTTGGATCCTGAAGTAGCAAAGCAATCACTAATGAATTTAGCCAGCACCGACACAAACAACGGCTGTTTGGATGAGACGCAGAAGGAGACGGATCTCAAGGAAAGAATGACGCCCAGCACACTCGGGCTATTGCGCACCAACATGCTTACAAAAACATTGCAAGGTTACCGTGAAAGGCTGATGGTTGAAATCAAAGACATCATTCGGAAGCGATACCCACCTACCACCACACCTGTTTCGACACCACCAGCATCCTCGCCGTCAGATGAACAGCAAATGGGAAACATGGCAAAGCAGCTAAAATCCATGCCCTTTTCTTCGTTTTTCCAAATGCTACTCGACATCTTCTCGACGCTGATAGAAGCCATTCAACGCGCATCTATCTATCACCAACTGCTGTTGCAAATTGTCGAAATGCAATACCCCAACACAGACTTCTTGATACAGATCAGCAAGGAATCTGCCGACATTGTCTTTTCTGCTGCTGATTTAGCTCATGTGCGATGTGGGAAACTGATTGGCTTTCGCAACGACCAAAACACGCTGCTCAATCCAACTGACTTTTATCGCCTTTCAAACATGATGCGTGCATTCATCTCACAATGCGAAATGTATTGCGGTAGAACTTGCTTTGGTCTTCGAGGTACAGTTTTGTCTCAGCAAAAGGCATTTGTGGAGCATTTCCATATGGAAAGAGTCAAGCAAGAAGCGCAACTTATTGAAAACGAGCAGTGGGCAGCAAGCGAGGTGCCCTCGGACTTTCAGCTTATTGTGGATCGCATCTGTGAGGGAAAGATTGATAGTCTTGTTCATGGCAGTGTTCAACCAGAGTCGTCTCCTGCTGCTGCTGCTGCTGCTGCTGTGGATAGTAGTGGTACCAAGTCTACAAAACATTTGTTCATTGATGGCCATAGCTACTACATTGTTGGCTGCAGTTTGTTGATTCTCAAAATGTTTGAGGACTATCTGAAATGTGTATTCAATTTGGAGAACATGACATTGGAGATTATGCAGAAGCTGGTTGAATTGCTCAAGGTGAGTGAAAGCGCTGGGAGGTTAGTGAGACAGGTTACTGACACTGTATCAAGCTATTCAATTCGAGGGTGTGTCAAGTGATTCTGGGTGCAGGTGCAATGCGTTCAGCAGGGCTAAAGAACATCACTGCAAAGCATCTCGCTTTGGCCTCACAATCTCTTGCTATCATGATTGCACTTATTCCAAAGCTGAAAGAATGTATCAGCGGCCATCTGACAGCTAAACAAACCAGCCACTTGACAGAATTCGACCGCATTGTCAGTGATTATAAGAATCACCAAGGTGAAATACATGCTAAATTAGTCGCCATTATGAATGAACGATTTGCAGCACATGCCAAGGCAATGCAAGCTATACAATGGGACGAAGAAGAGCTTCAGACCGGCAAAAACGCCAACATCTACATGGAGACGCTGGTGACAGAAACAGTGCGACTACACAAAGTGCTCGCAAAGTACCTTCCCGTGACAGATCTCAAGTGTGTCATGTCTCAAGTGTTTGGGTCTTTTACCACGCAATTGTTGGAACAGATCAAGCAAGCCGACATCAAGACAGAGAGAGGGAAGAATCGTCTTGCCAGAGATGCTGCTTATTTTACTCGACGCTTGAAATCGCTGCATCATGTGGAGCCGCCTTCTAATTCTGTCATGGAAGCCGTGGATGCTATACAAGTCAATGAAGCAGAAGACAAGGAGCCGCCTGCCATTGACGCAGCATCTGATCAGAAATAAAAGCATTGTATTTGTAAAATAAAGGTCCTTCTCCATCAGCCGCGTCTCAAAAGTTAATGGCACGCGTTCCTAGTTGACATCCAATCGGTTTAATGAGGAGACTGCAAAGTTTTTTCTTTCTACTATCACACACACACAAATGGTGCATGTTGTAGTTCATTCGCATAGACATTCCAACAAGAAAGAAGATCTCGTCTATCTCGATTTTCAAGGGAGCTTTGATGTAGGAGATGAAGTACAATGGGATAATCTAGAAATAGGTGATCTTACACTACAGGATGATGCTGCTGTTCTCGTCATTGGACACCACAGGCTTGTTGGTAAAAAAGTAAAGCTACCAAAGCCATTTGCTGTCATCCACAAAAGAAGAACTGACCTCGATATAATGGAGGAGCAAGACGGTGTTTGTTATGATGTTGTTACGATATTGAAAGAAAAATATGTTTTTCCAACCAGGCCTGGGTTGATTGTGCAAGAGAGTTTGCGTGGTTTAGCAAGAATCGGCAAATAAGCTTTTGATTTTTTAATCCACCACCACCACTACCAATTTGATCTGTACATATTTCTCCAATGTTACCAACGCGCAGCTACAACGATATTGCTTAGCTGCCTCTACTTTCTATCAAAGCATCACATATTCTATTTTGATTCCAATCAGCTTTTGTATAAATAAACGTCTTCTTGATTTTACATCCAAAATTCGTAGCTTTTACATCAATATAAATGTGTCTGGCAACGAGCATTGTTCTATTTCTATCATCAAAGCACTGTTTGTATAAATCGAAACATGTCCTCTGACTTTATCGCATATGGGATTCTCATATTCATTGCGTATGGATAGAGTAATGCAACAAGTAAAGCAGCAAGAGAATCGTGATAAAATGGACAGCGATAATCTTGGTTTGCATTTTTCTATACTCTTTCTGGACAAGGTTTCAACTATGGGTGCTAGAACAAGAAGAATGATATATACATTTATATGTCAAATCCATTGTTCTGGATCTGCATTCAATTATAGCTTTGTCTCCTTTAAACTACCATTTGCCACTAGCCCATATGCCTTTACATGTGAGTTTCTCTTATCGTGTATTCATAGATTGACAGCATTGGGGTGTTTGATTAAAAAGGAGAGAAGAAGGCATGAGCAGCTCAACATACTCGGATCAAGTGGGTTCTTGACTCCTTTTTTTGGCTACTTTTGTTTTGACATGATGATAGCATTTACTTGGTTACTCTGTAATTCCAGTTGTTTCACTCGTCCTTGCCCAGGTTCTTTCTGATAAATTGAATCCTTTTAATGCAAAGTATGGGAAAACTGGCTTGAACCGAAAATTTAGCTCTTTGATCTATTGTCATTTGATAGCGAAAGCAATAAAAAGGCTCGACTTTTGGAGAGCTTTTCCATTCTTCTTTTTCTCATCTACATCACAAACTGCCCATACGCAAAAGGCAATGACAGGTAGATAGACAAAAGTGCATCTAAGCATACCATGGCCATATCATTAACTGTAGCTTGTATAGATTATTTTGGTCCCTCTTTCCCAAGCAATCCTGCTACCAACGATGCACCAGGTACAGATGGCCGTGCATTCAACGAAGAAGATGGCAACTCGTCTGCATCCACCTCTCCAGCTGGTAATCTTATTTTGGGCTATTCTTCTGGTGTGAATCCCAATACTGTCTATTATGCCTCTACTCAACAGTTCCCTACAATGCTCTATGAATACTATGATGGTCATGCGTACTCTCAAGCTTATCCAGGCCAACAGAGTATGGTGTATAGCTCTTCTTTGTCCTCTGAAGATCATTTGTATGTGCAAAACGGTGAAATGGCTCCGAACACTACATCTCCAACCTCTAGTGTCTCGTCTGGTTCCTATGCCAACTCTGCTTCCAATATATATCTGGATGTTCCAAGAGAAGGCTTCTATTTGAATGACACAATGACTGCTGGTCGAGAGAGTACAGAACATATTACTGCTTCTCCTGGTTCCAATGGCTCACCTGCTCATCTCAAGAGAAGAGCGATTATCCCTCAGTCTGCTTTCAATCATCTTACTTTGACTGATCCTGCTTCAATGATTAACGGCAGCGGCGACTATTACGATAATCAGCACTTTGAAAGCAAGAGAGCGGAGCACACTTCATCATATAAATACCACTCCTATAGCCAACGCCTTCTCAAGGAAGATGATTCTAAGAAGCCTCAGCAGCATGTCAAAAAACCATGTCGAACCAAGGGCAAGAAGAAGTGCAGCAACTGCCACGCCACAGATTCGCCATCTTGGAGACGCAGTATCAGCAAATCGTCAAAGGGCGAACTTGTTTGCAACGCATGTGGCCTCTAGTAAGTAAATATGACTCATGTATCTTATGTATCTATGCTCACTTGAATATTCATCTAGTGAAAAGACCGCTAAAAGAAAGCGTATGCTTGTCACTGGTGAAGATGGTGCCACTAAGGTTGTCCGCAAGAGAGATCCTCGAGGTTTTTGCTGCTCAAAGTGTGGTGCTGAAGACTCTACTCGTTGGCGCAGATTTGATGAGCGCACTGTACACTGTAAGTGATTTACGACAATACGTACAGACATTTGCCAACATGGTTTTTCTTTTCTAGGTGAAAAATGCGTTCGTAGTCGCAGATAAACATATCCTCTTTCTCAGTTTCTTTCTTTCTTTCTTTCTCTTTTGCTAATCTAAGATGTTAATAAAGTTGTTTTTCACTCTTTGCTTATAATTAGTTGTATTTTTCTCATTTGATATTTCTTTCTCAATCTAAAAATATGGGGCTCTTCAGCTTATTGTTTTAATTGAAAACTGCTTTTTGGTGGTGCACATCTCGTTCAAAACTATACTATTACCATTGCAATAAATAGGTGATGTAAAACTTGCGCATAGCAGAGAGTAAAATTACATGTAGTATTAAGCGTTATCTAGTGAGACTGACATGCTTTGCTATCTTGTGAGGAGGATTTTAGATGTGATGATGCTACTAAATATAACGGTTCTGCCAAATTTTATTTCTGAAAGAACATCATCTACAAGATTCGTAACGACTCGAAGGGCTTTCTTTGATTGGTGGTGCTACTGAGTCGTGGTTGAAGGCTCTGACAAGAGTAGTACGTGAATATCTGGTGTCTTTTCGTCCTGCTGTTGCCTAGTCTACTCTATGTCTCCCTCGCAAGTTTGGTGGTGTTGGTTTGGTGTAGCAGACCAAAGCTTAGTTTTTCATCTTGTTTATTTGCAACGTTTGTTGTGTCGTCCCTCTTCCAATGATTTTTTTCTCCTCTTAGTATATACTTTTCAAATCTATACTGGTCATAAGCCCGTCTTGCCTTGGTTCTCTTGCCCTGGTCTCTATAAAGCTCATGTGTCTTATGTCACTGTTCTCAAACATCTTGGAAAGTTTCTGCTGAGATTGCCAAAACTAGTTCCTTCCTTTGGTTGGTCTGCTCGGTGTTTTCTTGATCTTCCCTTGTGTTCCGTACTTAGTACTGTGCCTTCGGTTTGTCCTCCTTTGATCCATCATCTCTCGAATCTCATTTTTTTAGTGTCGGGTATCTCTTTCTGGCAACCTGATCTTGGTATTGTTGATGCTGTCACGCCTCATTTTGCTTGGTTATCTCATGTTTTGCGCCCTGATTTTCTTGCTGTTAACCGCGATCGTGGTCCTGTCTCTCTAGTTTTCCTGCCTGCCGTGGATAGTAAAATAGTCTTATCTCAAGCAAACTATTTTATTATGTCCCGCTCTGATGGTGCTGCCTCTTGGAGGCCAGACTGTACTCATTGGGCTGCCTCCAACTCGTCTCGTTCTGCTGTTTCGGTTGCTCGTCTTTCTCTTGGTGCTTTGCGAAGGTTTTGGCATCCTGAAAAGGGTACCACTACTTCTCGTATGGGTCCGCCGTTGAAGCTGCCAGCTCATTTGTTGGCGATCGATGAGGATGTTCTGATTTCTCTTGGTGCTGTTTACAGTACACCTTGGAAGTACCCTTGGCGATGCGTCATAGACGAGAGTCCTGTATAGTTTTTACTGCTATCAACATGGTCCGTCAAGACCATGGCACACTTTTTTCTTTTCTTTCTTTGGCAAGTGTTCAAGTTGGCACTTCAACCTTGCCTGTAATTACTCTATAGACCTTTAAATTTCAAAGCTAATAAAGATACACTTTAATACAAACAAAGCTTTCTTTGATTTCTGTAAACCTATTGTTTCACAACACTGCTGATAAAAAAAAATAGAAAGCACGCACTGTTGTTAGCACCAAACATCGATACTGTTGCAAATGAGTAGGTAAAAGAGATTAGTAGTAGGCAGTAAATATGCCAATGCAAATCTAGCTACCAAATGAGCACCAGATTTATAGTTGTCCAACTAGTTAAGAACAAACAAATACACAAAGAGAGATAAACGTAAATCAAGTAGAATGAAATAAATCACGAAAGTATAACGGATTCAAGGGATCTTACAATGAAATAAATTTATTGAAAAAAACAAATACAATGAGCTAGATGACCGTATAGATAAAATTTTATGGCAAGAATGAGGTTATGCAAAGACAAGATATGCTTGATTGATTGAAGATATTTTTACTAACTCGTCTGTAACAATACTAGCAAATTAACTAGCGTAACAACAAACATGAAGTATTAAGTCTAAGCGCACCACAAAAGATGAATTTTACAAAAATATATGCGGCTAAAGTGGATCGAACACCTGACCTTTAGATCTTCAGTCTAACGCTCTCCCAGCTGAGCTATACCCGCATGGATGCTTGAATGGCTCACTTGGTTAGAGCTTCATGCGGAAGCAGTGAGTATGCCGAGAGGTCGTGGGTTCGAATCCCACCTTCGCATCCATATTTTCCGCCTTTCTAACCTGGCATGTTACTCGGTATTTGTGCTTGCACGTTTAGGTGTGCTGCGGTGCGTCTGGCCGGTTTCTACCTTGAGTCCTGCTCGTCTCCCCCGTCTTGCGGCGCGGCCATTGCTATTCCTCCCTCTGTTTCTCCTCCTCTCTGGTGGGTTTTGATGCCGTTTACTTTATTGGTCCCCTCCCTTTTAGCAGCTCCCCTAACCTTTAATTTAAAACATGCTTTTCCCCGCCGAATCACTGTTAGTCTTGCAATATATGATCATACCGATTCCGCAGTTGACTACATTTGTAAATAAATAAAAAACCAATATTAAACTGAGCTATACCCGCATCTCTTCCCGTTTTCGACACTTTTTGCCACCCTCTTCGGAAAAAGTATCCTAAAAACCACAAAAAACGTAATATCTCATCATCCAGTACTCCAATCCACTCGAAATTGTACCAGTATACTTGCATCCATCAACAGTTTATTGTGTTATAATTTCAGAATTGTCGTACACCTGTTTCATATTTTTTCGAATTGTTGGAATTTCAAAAAATATTCAACGCCATGGACACCAATCTACAAGCCCTGGATATGAGTCACTTTCCAGCGATACTGCAACAAATCCAGCAACAACTTACTTTGGTAACAGAGAAAGTTAACAAGCATGAGGACCTCCTTACACGTTTGGCTGCTTTGGAACAAGAAAACAAGGATCTGAAAAAAATTTTACAAGACAAGGACCTGGTTATTCAAAAATTACAACAAGGTCCAGTTACTAGTCACACCACTTCTCCTGGTTCGGGTCGACCCAAGGGGGGCGAAAGTTCCTCTATCCCAGTGTCTCCAAAGCCTCTCAAGGAAGCTCCTAATTTCGCCCAAATCGCTACTGCTGCTGCTCACAAGCCTGATCCTAAGAAAAAAGACAAAAAACGTCTTGCTGCTGGTCGTGCCTTTACCACTGCTGCTACCAAAGGTGTCCAGGGCTATCAATATGTATATATTGGTAGATCCCGAAAGATCCAACGTTCTGAAGTGCGTAAGCATCTAGCTAATGCTAGTGTTGATCTGGGTCGTGTCTTGGATATCTGCTTTCCTGCCTCCCATGTTATTGGTGTTCTGTTGCACGTTCAATACGTTGAGGAGTTTACTGCTCTATTGACCAAGGCTAAGGGTGAACTGTTTCCTGCTTTTGATCCATTGGACCCCAGCAATATTGCTGATCCCAAGTACGCCAGCCTCTCTGATGATGATCGTCATGCTCTGATTCACCAATTTACTGAAGCTCGCTGCCTGCAAACTTTGTCCTTCCTCCGCCCACTTAATGTTAGTGGTGTCGGTAAGTACTTTATACAGAAAGGTTGGATCTGCGATGAAAGTCTCTCTGTTGCCGTTGCTCAGGCCGTTGAATGCTTTGCTAAGAAGGAGCCCAAAAAGGCTGATTTCCTGTTCCGTCGCAAGCTGAACTCTGATTCCCAGGACAAGGCTGGATCTGATAGTGATATGTCTGATGTGGATCAATAATGAGTTCCTTCTCTGCCCCATCTATACTGCCTAATAATGTTAATGTGCCTGTCTCCCCGGTTTTCGTCTCTCTTTCACTCTGGAATGCCAATGGTCTTCGCCAATCAACAGTCCATGATGTTCTCTCTCATGTACTGGATACTCAGGTTCTGCTGGTTACTGAAACTTGGCTTACATCTGGCTCTTTTCCAACAAACTGGTCTCAATTCCATCTCTATGGTTCAAAAGTACCTGGTGCTTTCAATCGTGGTTCTGGTGGTGTCACTGCCTTTGTCTCTCCTTCCTGTCCCTTCACTGTCTCCCAACTACCTTCTTATAATCCGCACACTCTGTCTCTAAAGGTTGGCACCCTTACGGTTCATTGTGTTTACTTTCCTCCACCCTTATCATCTGATAAGGTGCTCTCGGCCCTTAGTTCACTACCTATGACTAGGGATACTATCCTCTGTGGCGATTTCAATGCTCGGTTGGGTTCTCTCACTGGTGATGCTATCTCCAATGCTCGTGGTAATGCTCTCAAACCTTGGTTTGATGAACATTGCTTGTCTGTGCTCAATGCGTCTTTGGCTTTTGGCGTTACGACGTACTCTTCTTTTCGGCAGCAGCAAGAATTGAGTAGTGTCATTGATTTGTTTTTGACAAATATTGGTGATGTTGCTTTGGTGAATCCTCAACTGGTGGTTGAGTCTGATCTGTCTCTTGGTTCTGACCATCGATTGATGTCACTTACTTTCGGGTATGTGCCACCTCTCGATGACACTGTGGCTCCTGGTGATTCTGTTCTGGCTCCTCGGCGTCAATGGAAGCTCTCGAAATTGACGAAAGAGAAGCCTTTGGGCTTACTCCGTGAATCCTTTCGATCTTCTGTTGCTCCTCTGGTTGGTACTCTTTCTGGTTTGGTGTCTGCTCCTCCTGGTGTTCGTCCAGATATTGATGCACTCAACGATTCTTTGAATCAATGTTTGTATGAATCTCTGGATAGTTCTATTGGTGTAAAATCCGGTCGTCCTGGCCATTGGAAGAAGTACTGGACACAAGAAATTCAGGATACTGCTACTGCACGCGATCGCTCATATAGTCAATGGAGGCATGCCTTTGGTATTGCCAAAATTGAAAAATGGTTCTTATACAAAGTTGCTCATCGCAAGTTTCGTTCCCTGGTACAAGCTGCAAAGCGAAGGTCCTGGCAACAATTTTGTACTGCCCTGGAGTGTGATTTCTCAAAAGCTACTGCTGCTATTAAGCGCATCAAGCGTAATAAAGAATCCTCTCCTACGTACAGCCACCCTGATGGTCCTGCTGCTTCTGTCTCTGCTATGGGTTCTCATCTCGCCTCGGTGTATGATGGCTCTCTGCTTGCCACTGCTACTCGTCCTGCTGCTCCTTCCACCTTTGACTCTGTTCTGCCTTTCTGTGTGCCTGTGGACATGTCACTGTTTGATATTGATACTCTTGTATCTCACATTCAGCGGCTCCCAACACATAAAGCTCCTGGTCCAGATCATATTAAAGCTGAGATGCTCAAGTCCTTGGTCTCTGAGATTGCTCCTGTCTTGTCGTTGCTCTTCAAATTGTGCTATCAATGGTCGTATACTCCTGCTCTCTGGCGCCAAGCCCAAGTCTTTCCCATTTTCAAGAAAGGTGATGCTTCTGACCCCGCCAACTATAGGCCTATTTCTCTGACTTCTGTTGTGCGCAAACTGTTTGAGTTCTCTCTCATGCCTGAGCTGGATGCCCATTCTCCTGCCCTTGACATTGCCCAAGGTGGTTTCCGCCCTCAACGTAGTCCTCTGGATCAAGCCCTCTGCTTGCATGACTTGATGCATGATTACTTTGTTGCGCACCGTCGTCGTCCTGTTGTCGCTTTCTTGGATATCAAGTCAGCATATGACACAGTCGATCGTCGTGTTATCTGGTCTGCTTTGGCTGGTTCTAGTCTTCCTCGTGCTGTTCTGGGTCTGTTGATCAACATGTTTGATGATGTGTCTGTCTCTGTCTTGATTGCTAATCACAACTCGACTGCCTTCTCTCCTGTCACTGGTGTTCTGCAAGGCTCAGTGCTCAGTCCTCACTTGTACTCGTTGTATATCAACTCTTTACCAAGTCTTTTGCGTTCTGGTGCTACTGGTGCTACTATGCTGCCTGTGCCTGGTGCTGATGCTCCTATTGCTATCAATAGTCTCCTGTTCGCTGATGATGTGGCTGTCTTTGGTTCAAAGTCTGAGGTTCAGCGTATGTTGGATCTTGCTGCTGGTCATTCTGTCTCTCTTGGATATAGGTGGAAGCCTTCCAAATGCGCTGTGCTTGGTACTGCTGCTGCTCTTGCTGGTTCTCCTCTTGTACTATACAATGAAGCCCTGCCTGTCGTTGACGAATTTACATACCTTGGTATGCCATTCCGATACAAAGGCCTGCATGCTCCTGGTATTCTGTCTCTGCGTTCTGCTGGTGCTGTCAAGACCATGGCTCTGTTAAACTCTGTTGGTGTCAACCGCAATGGTTTCTCTTTGCTGCTCTCCCCTCGCTTGTACAGGACATTTATTCGTCCTAAGCTTGAATACGGTCTGGCCATCTCGCATCTCTCTGCTCGTGATTTCACTGCTCTGGATACTCTGCAAAACCGACTTGTTGGCATGTTTGTGGG